CGCTTGGGGTCGTAATTGTTGCGCTGATGGCTTGGCAGTTCGCTTTCTGGTTATTAAATGCCGCAATTTCGTTTTCTATGTCGGACGCGGGCTTAATAATCGGGCGATATTTATGTTTGTTGTCGACGGAATCGATGCTGCGCCCGGCCCCTCCCACGTGACTGATTCTTCTGTTCAGGCAGTGTCTCAGTACGCAGTATGGGAACGGCAAATCGTTGCGCTTGTGGATTAACTGTGGGCCTGAGAACCATGACTCGAGCAGCTGGTGGCTCACGCGGTTGTCACCTCTTGCGAGAATTTCGGCCTCGTTAAACCTGAAACTATGACCGGGTCCCCTTGAGCGAGCTGCAACCTGAAAGGTGGAGTCTTTCTTTCTCCCCGCCGCTGCGTGCTCGGCCATTCACATCCGCAGTAATCTGCCGGTTTCTCCGACGTAGTTGCTTTGTCCACAATTGCACCAGATCCGGTGGACTGCACATCTACAACCGCAGTGTCACTGCAAAATAAGGTTTTTGTCAGTTCTATTTCCTAGACTTACTAACCTAGTAAACTGCTTCTATTTGTTTAAGCAATTTTTACGTTTGACGAAGGCTGAGTAAAGGTAATACGAAATTACAACAATTCATGCAAGCTCTTGCTTAACCCTCGCTTTGTTATATTCAGAGGCAAGAAACAGACAGATGAATCTGATAGTACCCAATTCTATACTATCAGTTAGTACTGTTGTCAGGGCCTCTGGCGGGACTCAAAGCTGAGTGGGCCAAATAAGTCCCGTTAGCGGTCAGGTGAACGTTCATTAACGAATGTCAATATCCCTTAACCTTAACCAGCGAGACAAAAAATTCGCGGCTCCCTGGTTAGGGCATTTGACTCTGACCAAAAGGCCGTGAGCTCGAGGCTCGAATTAGGCATCACTTGTGTCTGTTTATGACTGGCTGACGACGGCAAATAAGCCAGAAGTAGCCATTCCAGTCTCCCTTGTCTTTGCTGGTAATACTATCTGCCAATAAAAAATTCTCTTTGTTGATGGATTCCGGTTAAAATTCCCAACTTCAACTAATTCTAATACCTGCCGTCGCATTTTCTACTTTCCATACTGACTGATTCTGTTTACTAACTATTTCATAAACGTTGCCAGCCACCCGGCTTTTGGGTTGAATGTCCAAAGACAAACTGGTAAGTAAACAGTGTAATCCACGGCCCGCAAGATCCTGGACAAGAAACCCAAGGATCGACCACCAATAAGGAAAAAATCAACCGAGCATGTACTTACCTTCTCTGGGTCGGAATGTTGTTTTGCATCTGACGATCAACTACGCTATTCATAACGTATGCTAGGCATAAATATAAGGTCATACAACCGACGCACCAATCGACTCCCGACGGGTTGCTGCTCAGGTCGGCT